TTCACAGGTTGGTTAACTGTTTGGCACAGTAGGCCTATCTTTCAGTGTATCTTGACTTTTGACCATACCTTCTTCACTAAGATAATCATGTCTGCCTTGAACTTAAAGTAGAAGAGGTGTTACTATTCCTCTTTTCACTTGAACACTTAGAAAACATTATAGGGTTATTAATTGGCATAATTTTAATATTCCTGTGTTCAGGAAATAGGGAGACCAAAGGAGAGGGAGAGAGATGGAGGAAAAGACAGTAGTAGGTGGAGCAGACAAAACACACAGTTTTATAGTTAAGTTTTCCATCTCGTATGGCCAAAGTTCATGGGACCCTAAAACAATTACTAGGAACATCAAAGATTAACTGAACACAGTTCACCATAGCAGATATAATAACAATAAAAAAGCTTGAAGTATTGCAAGGATTACTAAAATATGACACAGAGATATGAAGGAAACATATGCTGTTGGAAAATTATTGCCAGTGGACTCACTCAAACTAGACTTACCACAAACCTTCAATTTGTAAAGAATTCAATGTTTTTAGCGCACAGCAAAGTGAAATGCAAAAAAGCAAGGTATGTCTGTACAACAAGAAAGTAGTAATTCTGGCCATTCTCATGCCCGCACTCAGATTCACCTCCACAGTGAGAAGTGTTGTTGTTGTGTTTAAAAACAATGGGAGTGTGTCATAAACTTCTGGCCCTTAGTAGAACATATGCTAAAAAATGGCTACTATTGATGAAGTGTTAGATTTCAGTTAACACTTGTACACTGCTGATATTGTGTTCTTAAAATTTCTAAGCCATAACCTTAATTTCGTGTTTTTATTATGATAGCTATAAAGTTTATAAAGTTTAGAAATGTATAACAATCCATTGTTTTTGCTGCATTGTTTGTTTAGTTTCCAAACTCATTTTTCTTTAACAATTGAATCGATTTGGCAAGGTAAGCCTATTCTTTTTCCAAAGACTATTTTGAGGAGGTGCAGAAGTATTCCCTGTTCACCAATTAAATTGGCTGGTAAGATAACATTCTGAGAAATTAGATGATACAATCAATCACATCTTCATAGCTACTTTATCATTTTGAATATAATTTATATCACTCATTTAAAACCACTAGTATATTCAGTGGCATAGAAAATATTTGTTTGCACTTCTCATGGAAGTCTGCCACTTTGTTTCTTATTGACCTGATGTCTGGTACCTAGAAGCAAGACAGTTTCACATTTTGCTCTCTGTAGAAACTGCACTGTGTATACATCGATGTGGTGAAATGTTTTCCTTGATTGCTACACATTGCTCATAGTCAAACTAATACTCTGGTCTTAGTTTCCCAAAGGTTTCTTTGAAAAGGATGTGTAAGAGCACAATTCCTCCATTCCTATGTTTATCCTTTTGTGGGGCAAGTGTGGCAGTGGGAGTGAGAAAAGTGAATCTCTCGGATTTTAGAATCAGAAAACAATGGGTTGAAATCCAGGAAGTGCTTATTATAAATGTGTGATCTGGGGTAAATAGCCAACTCTAAACTTGAGTTTCCCTGTTTATAAGTAGGGATAACATTCTTTGATGACATGGCTGTTGCCAGCCTGAAATGAGATAATCTATTCAAGCTGTCAAATAATTTATAGATCACATACTCAAATGTTCCCAATCTGTACCTTCTGGTGCAGGTAATGAGAAAATAAGTGGCTTGCAACTTATTCTGATCAGTTTCCTAACCTTTAAAATGTAACAGTACCTATTATGTAGGTATCAGAAGAATAAACTGATTAATGCAAATTGTATAATAATGTTACTTCTCCACAATATGGGCTTAATAAATGTTAACACTTTTGTTTATTAAGTGTATATTAGAATATTTTTAGAATCCCTTATAAATGCAATGCAAGGGAATAGGTCTTGAGGACAGAAATGACTGATTATCTCTTTAGATTATTGTTAAAATGGTAAATATATATATAAATATATATATGTATATATATAACTTCAGCCACACAACATAAAATTTATTACATGGATTCAGGAGTCAAACTGTGCAAATAAAATGCTTAAACAATCTGTAGATTAGTTTTCTAATCTTTTAAATAAGGTTACCAATGGTAACTATCTCATAGGGTTGCGTTGAGGATTAAATTAGTGAATATTTATAAAGTACTTAAAATAGCATTTGGCATGTCCTAAAAATGAAACCCATGATGAATGTATGACATTTGGTTAGAAACTGGGTGGTTGTGCTTCTATCCGGAATACACAAGTAACATTTCACAGAGTAGTCGGCATTTAAGCTAGGCTTTAAGTGTTGGAGACTATCTGAGCAAATAGAGTAGTAAAGAAAAGAATTCTATTGATGAAAACGGAAGATGAAGGCCCAGACCAGAAATCTAAGGGCATATAAAAGGAATAATAATCTTCTACATTAGCAGAAGTGACAATTATGGAAGAAATTAAAGAAAACATTAAGAAGTTAGAAAACGGATCCTAGATATTATTAAATGCCTTTATTGTCCTATATATGAAAGGAGAGGACAATTAATTTGGTAACACATGTAAAATGGAGACATAAAATTATAGTAGGAAGACCAGTTTTGCAGCATTCTAGCAAACCAGGGAAAATAATCAAGGTTCAGAAAGAGAACATTGAAAGTCAATGAAAACAAAAAAGATATTTAAAAAATACTGCAAAAATGAAACAGAATTTTGCAGGAGATAAGGGAATGAGAAAATTTACAGATAATTCTGATGTTTCTATACTATGCCTCTGAAAATGGTCCTAATACAGAAGCAACAGATAGATGGTTGATATTTCACGTTTAGATACATAATATTTTTCTAACTTCAGATTTCAGTTTTATATAAATCTTATTAGCAGAAGGTTTGTGACTATGACACACTACTTCACTGCTCTTTGGAGAAAATGTACTCACATATAAACACAGATACCCCACAACCACCATATCACATTCACTATTTTGTAAAAGAACATTTATACTCTGAAAACAATATTTAACTATCTAAATACTACAACAAAACAGCATATTTATTAATAAAAAGTTAAAATGTTGTTTCTGTTTTTCTTCCTTTTCCCATCCTTCCTTTTACTTTCCAAAGCAATTCAGTCATAAAACTATCATGAAGCACACTACAAGGAAGGCATCTGTGCTAGCGGGTCTCAGCTAGGCAGCCATGGAGGACGAGATCTGATTATCATAGCTGGGTATTGGAAAGTGAAGAGAGTGAGAGAAAGTTAAAGAAGGGGCTTTCTTACTGGCCAAGTAAATAATAATTGTAGTCGATTTTAACTCATTGTATAAAATGGGAAGTCATGAGTCTATTCTGTTGTAAGTAAACGAAATGAACAAATTTAACATTTGAGAAGGAACTTGGGTATTTATATACTATCAACGTGCCTGTCTATGAAATACTTGTTAATTTCAAAGAATAAAGAGTACCTCTACAATGGAGAAACCTGGCAGAGACAACCTTACTCAAAAGTGATCATCATTAGTACTGAGAAAAATCAAAATCATATGTCACCTAATAAGATACACAGACATCTCAGTATAGCCTCTGTGATATTCCTGGCAAAGATACATGACCTGTATCTAATCACAAGGGAGCATCAGCTAACTCAGATTGAGGAACATTCTACAGAATGGTTTTCTGGTAATCTTCAAAAGTTTTAAGACCATGAAAATCAAAGAAACACTGAGAATGTTACAAGATCGAAGGAGATTAAAGAGTGATGACTTGGGTGATTCTGAACCTGATCAACTTGTTATGAAGAGCAATATAAAGATCATTGACAAAACTTGAATGGGATTTAAAGATTAAGTGGCCATAATGAATCAATACTAATTTACTGATTGTGACTTTTGAATTACAGCTATGTGGCAGCATGTACTTAGTTGTAGAAGACACACATTAATTAATTTAACAGGTGATTTATAAGAAATGCTTTTTTGCTAGATATTGAAATTCTCAAATAAAAAATCTTAAGAGAAGCACAATCTTAACATGGAATTATCAGAAGGACCTTCATGTATAAGCTTAGAATATAAAAACGTAAGAGGAGATTCAAGTATAAAAGTATAATTGGGTCAACTACTGTAACTGAAGTCTTAATGGCAGTTGCAGTTTGGCTCACATCTGTAATCCCAGCACTTTAAGAAGCTGAGATGGGAGGATTACTTGAGGCCAGGAGTTTGAGACCAGCCTGGGCAATAGAGTGAGACCTTGTCTCTACCAAAATTTTTAAAAAGTAGAAAGGCATGGTGACATTTACCTGTAGTCCTAGCTACTTGGGAGGCTGAGGCAGGAGTTGAGGTTGACATGAACTACGGTCTTGTCACTGCACTCTAACCTGGGTGACAGAGCAAGACTCTGCCTCTAAAAGAAAAAGAGAGAGAGAGAAGGAAAGAAAAAAGAAAAATAAATGAAAAGGCTTGTAGTAATGAGAAAAGAATTTAAGATAAAGAAGATGATTCAAGCATAAACAATCAGTGGAAAACTTCTATGTTTAGACAGAAAGCTAAAGAAACTGGGAAGAAAAGCTGAGAGCAGAGACCATAGGGAAGACTGCATGTTGTGGAAGGGATTGTTTTAAAGAGAAGGATTCGTGTATAAAAAACAATGAAATAGTCAAAGAAATGGACTGAGAAAAGCTCACATATTTGGTAGGTAGATTATTGTTGGTTATCTTTAAGAAAGCACATTTTTCACATAGGTTTGGGGACAGAAATCCTATTTCAAAAAGTTAGAAATTAAGTGGGTGGTGGGAATTTGATGATTTGCCATCAAACTGAGTGTGCTTGTGGTTTGTACTTTACTTCCTCCCATACCATGCAGGCAGTAAAAGACTCTGGTTTCCACTAAGTGAATGGTTTGACTCAACATTTTCAAGCACTTTTGGCACTTTCTTTTTTTCTCAGGGTGTACTATACATCAACAACAAGTAACAGTTTCCTGGATCTCACAGTAATAAAGGTGATGCTTTACTCTTCTTACATGTCCATAGCAGGTTAGTAGGGGCTGGGCTCATCATAGTCATTGAGGTTTACAGGCTGATGAAAACTCATCTTAACAGGTGCATCGGTATGGTAGAAACAGAAAAAAGAAAACACATAAAAATATTTGTTATATCTTAAACCATTTGCATTAAGAAACACAATTCACTTTTACTCCCACTCCATTGGCCAAAACAAATCACATGGTTCACAGGATGGGAGTAATATAATCCTCCTACAGAAAGGACAATATACACTCAAAGCGAAAAGAGATAACAGAATATGTATGCAGCCAAATGATATCTTTATTTTGTATATTTATGGAATTATGGAAACTCAAAGTTATAATGTACCTCAAAGAGTCTTTAATGCTGTGGCTATAGAGCTTCAATAACTACATGCTACTTTCCTCAGGAGAAATTCCTTGTGCAGACCCAATATATAAACTAGGTAAAGTCGATCTGTCCTGCTTAAGCATGATTGGAGTCTCTAGAGCACCATCTGCTTGTCTCTCCCTTTATTACCAAACAGGACTGTTGGCAATTGGAAAAGAATATCTGTTAATTTACAGAATACAGTTTGAAAGCCAATGTACTATACTAGTTTATATTTGATGTAGCATCCTCTCTATAGCACCTGCAAGTCATAATTATCTATTTCCCAGCTTTGGTTTGGACAATTCCAGTAAAAAAAAAACAAACTCACTAACTCCGAAGATTCATTTTCACTGAGACGATACAAACTCTATCACTGAAAAGTCTCGTCTCAGTAGAGAAGTCAGCTTCATGATAAAAATATCAAAGCTATCTTCTATATTCTGCAATTAGAGAAGTAACAAGAACCAGTAAAGGGATATGTCACATAATGAATCAAGCCTAAGGTCAGGAATATATCCTGGTTTTGATTCCAAATGCATTCTCTGTCCACTGTAATATATGGCTAAAATTTAAAAATAATATATTTTAAAATATGATGTATGATCCTAAATAAGGTTTAAGTTTTAATAAATGTTAACAGAAAGTTTTCTTAACAGTGACTTCTTCATATTAAATATTCTATTAATTAATCTTTAATTTTGAAACGATTAGAATGTCATTTTCCATTTATATCTCAATTACTGTTTATTGATTATTGACTTATGAGGGGTTCTAATCTATGTACTTAATGTAGAACAGAGGACAAAGTATTTACCTCCTGCTGGCATGGAGATTAAATTCTAGAGGTGATGAACTATTAAAGCAGGAATGTTATGAAACATATAATATAAATTTTTCTAGTACTCTTAAAAATATATTGCATATGCATTTAGTTATTTTGGATTTTATATTTATTTATATTAATGATTTTATCACAATATAGGTTTTCTTGATAGACCTTTTATATTTAACATTAAATGTTACAGGTGATGATTTCTCTAAGAAGATATAAAAATACCTGTATTTTTACCCTTTTGGTTATCACCTATGTTTATTCTGAATAATTTTAGTGGAAGATCAATGCTCTCCTTCACCACAACAATTAAACATGTTATAGTAAATTCTAAAACAATTTATGCCATTTTGACACATTTATTCTAATAATAATCCCATGCAGTTCACTGAAAAAGAAGAGAAAGTAAGTAGCATATAATGTATATTTCAAATCATTCTTTTTAATTAGTTAATTTGACTGTTATATCAAGAAATAGGTGAGCTCTTTGTTACAGATACCTAATTTATTCATATAATTTAGCTGATTCAAAGGGTAATGTAGTACATTTCCCCTGATACTAAAAATTTTAATGATCAAATATGAGAATGGGAGAAGAAAGATATTTTGTTCTTAAAATAACTGTTATGTTAAACTCTCTCAAAAGAACTTTCAAAAGAAAAAGCAATTAACAAATGAATTGACCTAATTGTATAAGCCATCTGCAAACTACATTTCCTTTCTTTCATGGATATCTTGTTCACCTTCATAGTCTTACCTTGAGTTGGATTTTTCTTTGTTAACTGAAATCTCTTTGATTCTCACAATGTTTATACTATGTATCAGAAATCAGCTGTTTTTGATTCCAGCTTGTAAGCCTTATTTTTGAAATTGAGAAAATTCCAATCTTATTTAATAAAAAAATTCAACAAGTTAGTAAATATAATTGTAAATTTATAATCATTTTTCACAATGATTGCCATTGTGCTTACCAGCTATTTCCATGTTAAATTCCTATATCATTCATATCTTACCTTCATGGATTACTGAGTACGCATCTGTCTTGGAAATGCTATTTTGGAACTGTTGATAGATGTTTGAAACTACAGCTTAAAATATATATTAAAATAGAAAATATATTTATCAGCACTTCTACTCATTAAACTAATTTCATTCATCAGTTTTTAGAAAAGAATGTTTCTCAATGTGTGCATATAATAAAAATTATCTAATGTGACACTGAATATTAAATAACAGGAGTCACTTTTAAAATGATAAGCTTCATATCCATATTTTAACTAATGTAACAGGATATATATATTATATGAAATATATAATATATAATTGTCTTGTATACAAATATATAATACATATCCAGCAATTGTGTATATGTATGTGTATATATATAGTGTATATATAAGTAAATCTATGTATACATATCTATGTGTATATATATATTAATGTATACATGTATATATATGTACATATATTTTAGATTAATTTATACACCCATGACTTAGGACATTCCACGACTTACAGGCAAAGTTGTGTAAGGCTCAAATATGTGTCGATTTTGTTTGACAATCATTCATCCACTTTTAAAGATAATATTCCAGATTAATAATACCATTTTACAGAAATTAATTTTGGGCCAGGTGCAGTGTCTCATGCCTATCATCCCAGCACTTTGGGAGGCTGAAGCAGGCGGATCACCTGAGGTCAGGCGTTTGAGACCAGCCTGGCCAACATGGTGAAACCCTCTCTCTACTAAAAATACAAAAATTAGCTGGGAGTAGTGGTGCACTCCTGTAATCACAGCTACTTGGGAGGCTGAGGCAGGAGTATCGCTGGAACTCAGTAGGTGGAGTTGGCAGTGAGCTGAGATTGTGCCACTGCACTCCAGCCTGGACAACAGAGTGAGACTCTGTCTCAAAAAAAAAAAAATTAGTCTTGAAATGTCAAAGTTATATAATCAGATATGGTTTGACTTGTAATGCTAAATTGATTCAAGTCTGCTAGTATAATACCTTATGATGATCTTAATGACTGGTGGGTAGATTCTACAGATATATCTATTTATGTCTGATAACTAATTAGATAATTGTATATTTCTCAGTATTCTCAAGTAAGCCTGTCTGCATCTGTCCCTCAAACTCCATTTTTATAACATGTTAGAATGGCAATACTGGTCCAAAACCTAACCATGAAGAGATGAAGCATTTACACTGTGCTTTAGGATTTACAATTTACTTTGGAAGTAGTCCTTGTGATCCCGTTATGCATCCTAGTGTTCTTATTTTATAGGTGTGTAAACTGAGGCTCAGAGAGAAAACTGCTTACTCAAAGTCAACAAAGCTCTTAAAAAATAGTCATGATCAGGCTACTAATGTGTATGTCTTGAGATGCTGTTAAAAGGGATTATTGCTAAAGGTAATGTTCTTAGCCAATTTGCACCTGGAATATGGAAAAAAAAAATTATTTGGGATTTACGTACTATAATGTTGATTATCTTATTAATCATTTACTGAAAACAATGTCAAGGCACTTTAAATTTGTCATCTTTCTTATCCTCTGAACCCATTTATGTGACAGTTATTATTATTCTCATGTTGCAAATGAGAATAATTGAAGGATGGAGAGTTTAAGTAATTTGCCCCATGTAAAATAAGTAGTGAATATGGAAAGTTTCAATCTCATCTCCAACAGAGTCTATAACATGAGAACATGAGTCCAAATCAGTCTATGTTTATATTATGCACATTTTCAGTTCTAAGATTACATAAGTTCCAGGCATAAAGCCTGTGCTTAATTTTAGATACCCTGAATTAAAGTCAGGATAAAAACTACACACTACACTGAAGAGTCTGAGGAAAAAGTCATATACCAAGTCATAAACCAAGAGAAAGAGGAGAGATGACTACGACATCAGTCATACCGAGAAAAGCTGCCTTTCTCAGCAAGTCAGGCCAAAAGGAGAAAGAGCTAGAGCCTTGGTTCATGCCCCAGGACACTTGCAGCCTCTGATTTCCTCCACTTGGCCATTTTATATCTTTAATTTCCAGCCTACATGATAGATTGCCAAAGAAATAAAAGTTTGTACTACTCAGATGATAAATTCAATATGGTAAAAACAGCAAAAATGACTATAATTTGAACTGCATTATGAGAGGTTTAATCTATTCCCAGAATTATTCCATGTCTTAAACCTTGTTTTTTATAGTCTGCAATATCTGAGTTCAAGAGTGGGATGGAATGAAAAAAAGCAAAATATCCCATATGTAATACTTTGAGCATGATAATTACACTTGGAAATGATCTATAGGGTCCAAAACTGATTTGATAGTAATTTATTAAATTAGCACACACACAGGAACCTATGATCCCCACTACTTCCCTTTCTGGACATCCAAAAACAAAAGATAACATAGTAAAAGCCTTTTAGTATTTCTTTGCATATTAAATCATCAGGTCCAAACTGGTGCTTAGTTGAGTACAAGGAAGAGTTAAGAAGAAAAAATCATATAATCTTTTGCATATGGTCAAGAGTACATTCCGTTTATAACAATGCCCCGTTATTGCTCATATATTAAGGAGAAACCAAAACTCCAAAGATCTTCACAGCATTTTTAATTTTCCTGATAGTTGCTTAAAAGAAAAACTTAAATATAATATTTGATAGTATTATGGGTTAAACCGTGTCCCCCCCAAAATTCATGTTATGACGACCTAACTCCCAGTACTTCAGAATGTGACCTCATTTGGAAATAGGGCCATTTCATATAAAATTAGTTACGTTAAGATGAGTTCTTAGAGTGGGCCCTAATCCAGTATGTTGGGTGCTCTTACAAAGGGGAAAATTTATAAACAGGCAATGTATAAAAGAA